TCAACCCTGACAAAAATTAAAATGTCCTTTAACCTTTTTTCTTGGTCAGGGGATATAGATGATAGATGGAATTGAGTTCCATGTATGTATGCTGGCTTCACGTGCTGCAACTGGAAACCAGTTTAGAATAGCAAATGATGTGAATATTTAGTAAATTTCTTATCAGATTATTCAAGCTTACTTTGATGGCAGAGGTCCTGAAGTTATAATACATTTTTTAACATCCTCAATGAGTTCCATAAAACAACCATGTATTTGATTCCATTATATAAAACATTTCTTAAGATATACTCCAGGAAAATAGGAATATGTATATACATGAATCATAAAATTTTAACCAATGACACAAATGTGCACACAAAACAAATTCTAAAGTAATTATTTCAAACACATCCCTTACTATTGGTTCACTACTTGCTTACTTCTTACTTTTCTCCTAATACTTTCTAACTAGAGAGCAAAAATTACTCTAAAGTTTTAAAAAGATTTATGAAAGAAAATCTTGAAGTTGAAAACAAAAAATTTCATTTATTTTTTTGTGTGAATTGGGGTACGATCAATATGTTTTGATTGGTAGAGCCCTTTGATCTACTCAGAAATACAGCTTTAAGAATACTTTAAGAATCCCCACCTTCCACATGGCATTGTTAAAAAAGACTTTTAAAATTGTAAATAAGGAAGAAATGTTCTTTTTAATCACAAATAAATGTTTACTTAGAAAAATTTTCAAAAAATATAGAAGTGGTGGTCACAGACACAAGTCTGTGATCCCTAGTCAGAAAGCTGAGGCAGGAAGATGGCAAGCTGAAGTCCATCCTGGGCAATTTAACAAGACCCTGTCTCAGAATAAAAGATAAAAAGGGATGCAAATGTAGATAGAGTGTCCTGGGGTTCAATCTCTAGTAACACACACACACACACACACACACACACATACACACACACAAATACAGATGTGCATAAAGTAAAACACTGAAAGTCTCAGCCTGCCCCGTCTAATCAATTTCCTATAACCCAGAAATAGTTACTACAACAGTTTGCTGTATAAAACTCCAGACTTTCTATATAGAAACACATTTTACACACATACTCACTTAAAAATACAATTGTTAAAATGTATTCCCATATAAACATTCCAAAATATGTTGTGGCTTGAGAGAATTGCTGTACTTTCTAAATTTCTTTACATTTGTTTTATTTTTACTACCAAGTAAGTATAACATTTTCAAGAAAACAAAGAATAAGAACTTGCTACACAACTCTCTAGAAAAACATAAAGAGCAAATACAGACGGTGGATGAACTTTTACAAGGAAAAGTCATAATCCCACATCATTGAAATTAAATAGTCCAGATCAAAAAGAAAGATCAGAAAGGGAGACTTGCTGTTTACTTCCACCCTAAAAGGGAAATATTTCTTTATATATTGCAAGTCTAGATCTATGTTTTTATAGCCATGAGTATGGTTATAGTTTTTCATTGAGAGGAACCAAGGTAAATCAACCTGCTACCTCACCTGCCAGTATAAAAATACCAGGCTGTCAAGTCAGAATCCATGTATACATAATGAGTTGTAATGAGATGTAAGACTATTTGAAGAAACAAATAATTTTTTTAAATAGTTTAAATGTTTGCTCAAAATTTTTCATTTGTGCAAGAATAAGGTTGATTTTACTACATGAATTATGGGATATTTGAGCTGAAAGTTACTTTAGAAATCCTGTGAATAACCTCTAAATCTTCCAGCTAGGGAGACATCCGAAGAAATTAAGTAGTTTGGGCTGGTCACCAAGGACTTAGTGAATGGGGATTAGAATTCAAATATACAGATTCCTGACCCAAAGGAAGAATAAAAACAACAAAGGAAAATGTGTCATCTCCTGCTGGATGTGGGGAGAGGGATTAAACTCTGCCTCTCTTGGTGATTTAACAGCAACAAGATGGGCCCAGAAAACCAAGACTGAGATCACAGATTCACTTTCAGGAGCAGGTCATACAAGGTTTTGATAATGGAAGAATTGACTAAAGGCAATTATTCTAGAATGGGGCCCAAAGAGAGGAATTCGTGGATATAGGCAAACCATCAGCAAAAGGACAGGCCTAAGAATGTTCCTCAGTCCTGGAAGCCAGAGCACTGAGAGAGATCCAAGAGACTAGCGATTCACACAAGCCCAGGTAAGCAGGAATGGTAACAGTAAGTCAAGGAAGCCAGGCCTTCAGTGGGAATGGTTCACTGCTTTGTCAGCCAACTGATGAGGAAGATTTCCTCTTGTACCTCACTAACTGGTTAGTCTCTCAACATTGGGCTTAAGGACCAAAGCAGAGGGACACTTGAAGAGAAGCAGGGAAGCTACAAAGTTAGTACAGGTGTATAGCATCCAGCCAAGACCTAGCTGAGGAAGGAGGCAACACAGCAACCTACAGCAAGAAGACTGAAGGGGAAGGCATGAGTCTGGGTCTTTAATCTGCTCAAATGGCCTTCTGCAGGAACTCCTTTCCACAGTCAAGATTTGGCTTGTTACATGAGAACACACGTAGTCCACCTCTAACCATTAAAAGAGCCCACCAAGAAGAGCTATGATTCAACAAGCTTAAAGGTGGAATAGGAAATAATAAGAAGGATATTTTTGAGTTACCAAGTTAAGATTGGTAAAAAAAAAAAAAAAAAAGAAGATCTCCAGCTAGAGGAATAAAACTATTTTTAAAGAAATTTGATAACTTGTTGTGAACTGATAATTATCTCCTACCTACATTTAGGTGGTAAATTAATTTAAGACTTTTAAAAAAAGAAAGAAAGAAAGAAGAAAGTTAAGAAAGCTATACTAACATGTGTCTTGGATAAACACTGCACAGTTTATTTTATTGCCACCACCAAAAGGCTCATTGTGTGATTCTTATCATGCTTGTTGGCAGCATACACAAATTTTAAATCAGGCTATTAATAAAGGCAAATAAGTCTCTTATAAATGGTGAAATTTTATACCCAAAAGGATGAAGAGTCAGTAAGCAAAACAACATCCCACAAAAGCAGTGTTTCATCTACTATTATATCCTTCCCATGGAAATCACCTAAGTCATGGTGGTGCTGTGTTGTCCTTTAACTAGGATGGTGAAGACTCCATACACTTTGAAATCAGTAAATGTGCCAAAGACATATGAGCAAACTTCTAGTTCTGTTCTAAAACATTTTTTAACTTAAGAAATCTACCCAAAATCTCCTAAAGATAACCTAATCAAAAAATTTCATTACAGAGGAGAAACAAAAGTATATGGAGATCTCAGGATCAAATGGCATTCTCCACTGTGGTTGGCCTCTGTCCCACTCTGTCACTCACACTTACGTGCTATTCCCCAGTCTCTTCAGAAATATGTCATGATCCGCACCAAAAGATAAGACTTTTGCAGAGCCTGCAAGCCTTTATAACAATAAAGTGAACACAAACTTTTTATTCCTTTATCATCAAGAAAGTTTTTACTTTTCAAAAGGACGTTTTTAAAAGCCCTATCATCCAGGGACATCTAAAGAGAAATGAATCCCAGGAATTTTTGAAAGACATTTTGTAGCCGGGCACTGGCACACGTCTGTAAATACCAGCAGCTCAGGAAGCTGAAACAGGAGGACTGCAAGTTCAAAGCCAGCCTCAGCAACTTAGGAAGACCCTAAGCAACTCAGCAAGACCCTACTTCTAAATAAAATATAAGAAAGGGGCTGAGGATATGGCTCAGCAGTTAAAGACCCCTGAGTTCATTCCCTGGTACCAAAAGAAAGAAGAAAGAAAACCATTTTGCACAACACTTTGGTTATGGAAAGTGATTCAATGGAGTTTTACTTGGCCATAAAGATAAATGAAATTATACAATTGCCAGTAAAGGAACAAAACTGGAGAATATCATGTTAAGTGAAATAAGCCAGACTCAGAAAATCAAAGGTCAAAAGTTTTCTCTCATACAGCAGAAGCTACAGCAAAGTAAGAGAAAAAGCATAGGGGGATCCAATCCCACAAGACGACGGAGATCAAAGGAGTAAAATAAAGCAATTGAGGGGGGGGGGGGGAAGAAGGAGGGACAATAAAGAGGAGTAAATGCAGAATGAATTTGATAAAATTATGCTATGTACATGTACAAATATGCCACAGTGAACTTCACCTTTCTGTATATCTATAAATCAACAATTAAATAAATAAATAAATGGAAGACCAGTAGAGTTGAGGAAAGGGAATGGGGGAAGGAAAGAGGAAGCACTGGAGCCTGAAATGGAGCAAATTAAATTCCACACATGTACGATTATGTCAATAGGAACCCAACTAGTATACATAACTATAATGCACTGGATAGAAGCATAAATTTTTTTTTCATTTAATTAGTCTGAAGTATCATGGGAAAAAAGAAAAAGAAAAAAAAAAGTGATATTCTGAACACTGAAACATGAACATATCTCAAGTTCCACTGGCTATGATTTCAGGTCCCTCCATATTTTTAAATACACTAGCTATTATTACCTCTGAGTAAGGAGAAAATCAATTATTTTTGTGTGTTGGTCTCTGAAGAAGGGCTCAGAACATACAAAGCCCAGTTTCTCTATATATCTATTTCTCATTTGAGAAAAAGTTAAAATTTGAAAACAGTTAAATACAGAAATCTATTTTGATTTTTAAATGAGTGGTATTTGTTTGGAGCACGGGTTAGTTTTTCATACCCAACCATATCTAACAAGTAATTTGTTAGATTTTTTTTTTTCTTTCCACTGAGAGACTTCATTCAGTCATCAAGCTGATTTAGTTTTGTTTGTCATCCTAAATCATATAACCACTTTATAGTTTGAGCAACACACATATTAATACCATGAAACATCCATATGTTTTTAAAAATTGATGGACTATACCTTTAGCATATTTTCAGTGCTAAGGAAGATAATAAAACTTCACTGGGAGAAATTATAAAATTGAGGCCAAAACCACAATACATTTCTTAAATTATAAAGTAATACTGCTTGAACAAGACCTTTGGATTGTTTTTGGAGGCTTGGCTAACTCTTTATACATAGTCGTAAGTTTATTCGATTTCAGTCTTTTCTTCCATTTCATCATCCTTCTCTTGGGAAAAACAATGTAAGTAATGCCAGCTTTTTTCGATGCTTCAATGAGAGACAGAGAGATGTCTTCAAAAGTGCTGTTATCCGGAATGCTCTCCAGGAGCTCACTAATATGTGCTCTGATGAAAGGGGCCTGGGCCTTCTTTTGCTCAGCAAACTGCAGCTCCAACGCCCTTCTTTTCTGGTACATCAACAGTCTCAGGTTGCTTTGAATATCATCCTTTAGTTCTAATGATTTGGTGGTGAACTCCTTTCTCAATTCAACTGCAGATTTTGCTCTCTTAATAAGGAAAAAAGGAGGTGAAAAATATATACGATCAATTAAAATTAATTTGGCTATAGTTACTAATAATGTAGTTTGGGCACTGTTTTGAAAATGTTTTAAATTGGGTATTAATGACAAGATAGAAAAGACATACAGTAAAACAGGCAAATAGTTAAGAAAATGAGCCCGATAAAGGCTTCTCCACTCCATTAGATCAACCTGTAGAAACAAATTCCAAACATTCCATCCAACTCCTTTGTCACAGGGCAGTGAGCAAAGGCAAGACAGACCTGAGTGAATGCTACAGACTCAAGCTAATTAGCATAGATTTTGCCCAATAGCATTGGTATTTCTTCAATACCTAATTATCATAAATATTGATGGACACTACTACCCAGTAGCTACATAACCCCCTAGACTAGTACATTTAAGTGGCAACCCCAATCAGGACCCCAATTGGGTCCCTTCTCGCCCTGAAGAAGCTCTGTCTCTTTTCTTCTCCCTTGAATAAATCCTACTCTTTTACGCTTACTCGTCCATGTCTGTGGATTTCATTCTTCAAATTCATGAGACAAGAACCTTGAAAAAAGACACCGGCTGGCAGCTGAGTTCTGCTGCAACACTACAACAGCAGGAGCTGAAAATCTGGTCAATTATACATTAATCATTGAAACTCTAATACTCATTATTCAATAAAAGAACACAGATTTCTAATCCTTTGATATATCATTTCCTGCCTATTGAAGCACTGTCAACAAATTTATAGCATTTCATTTTGCTAATAAATAATTTGTTATAGAGAGATCTTTTTATAGTGAATTTAGACCCGAATTCCAAACAACAATTTCATACAAGCTAGTTATGTATCTAAAATGTACTAAAGAATAATAGAGATCTTGACCATCCATGATATTATACTCCTCCATCTGAGGAAACTATATTTGACTCAAAATGTAATTAGAATAGAGACTAAAATATGAAACATACATGCATGCATTTGGAAAAAAATGTAAGGCAATTATTATTGGTAGAAATATAAACATATATTTTGGATAATAAAAGCTGAAATTACAATACCTTCAATTGTGTAGACTGTGTACTGAAACATTTTTTAATATTTTCAAATGAAGCAGATTTTTTTAGTAAGAAAACCTGCAAAATAATTGAATGAGAAATACATATTAACCGTAGACATAAACTAAAATGTCATATGATAGTTGGCTAATAATAATTATGTAGGTAAATTAATGAAATGTAGAAATACTAATTAAAGCATAGGTTCTTACTGACTTTGAAGTCGCTGACTTCTTGAAGAGGAACAGGGTTTAAAGTGCATCAATTAACTTAGCAAAGTATATAATAAAGAAAATTATCTTATTAATTCTCTAATCACAAGCAACCTCAACTTTTTACTTCAGGGAACCAGATAAATATTATATATTATTATAACGGCACCAAGAATAGGGATATTATATTAAAAGAGCTGAAACTGGAGTGGAAAGTATAAAGGAAATGTTATGTTCCACGCTTTCAGACAGGATAACAGTGCAAACAGCAAGAGATATAGCTGTAATCAAAAGCACCTGTGGCAATGACTGTAAAGCTGGCACAGATCAGGTATAAAGAGAACGCAGAAGAGGGAGAAACCAGTTCTGAACAGGTGGAAATCTGGATAGACCAGCTTAAACAGGAAGCATCAGAACTACTATGTGAAGACAGCAGCACTTCTGTAGTGAGAAAGGGTAGAGAATATCCCAGGACAAGGCAACAGCCTCAGCAAGCAGAGAAATGTCCAAGTAACAGAAATATTAGCCCGTGAGGATTCTCGTGTGGTCAGAGTACAGCACACATGGAGGTTACATGGAAGTAGAGGTAAAATGGGAGGTAATACAGATGAGGTCAAGTTAAGAGGCTTAGTTAAGCACTCTGACTTAATTTTATTTGCTAGGTGGATTGGTTGAGTTTTTTTTTTTTTTTTTTAGAGAGAGAGAGAGAGAAATTTTAATTTTTTTTTTTTTTTTTTTTTTTAGTTATCGGCAGACACAACATCTTTGTTTGTATGTGGTGCTGAGGATCGAACCCGGGCCGCACGCATGCCAGGCGAGCGCGCTACCGCTTGAGCCACATCCCCAGCCCCCTGGTTGAGTTTTTTTGAGTCATGAGTGACATAATGATACCCATTTTAAGACTACAGCGGGATAACTCAAAAATGCAGCTACTAAAAATGGGAATATATGATAGGTAGATGCAAGTGATGCTACTACCACACTCTAAAAAGCTTAAATGGCTTTCGAACCTAGAGAAGTGTCATTTATTGATTCAATTTTCTTTTAAGTAATAGTCACTGCTCTAGATGTTGTAGATAGAATAGTGAACATGAATGATATAACTTCAGGCTGGTGAGGAAGAAAAAGATCAAACATACATTGGGGAAAAATATTCCTTGAGTGCTATCAAGAAGGCAGAGAAACAGTGATCCATAGGAGAAACATTACTATCCCCTTCTGAAAAGAGTATTCCCTGATTATGGGGGTCAGTGGAGGAAGCATTGAGGCATATTTAACCTAGTTAGCTGACTAGAAAAGGGGTTTTGAGTTGTTTCAGGGGACGAATTCTCTACTATGTGGCACATACCCAAGATATCATCTAGGGGAGTAGAGGGCTGAAGGCACTGTGAAAGCAAAATGAAACATTCCTGTTCATCCCCCATAAAGTTCAGGCATTACTAAGCCCATTATATAAATTTCATACCTCTCCTCTGCCCTTGATCACCATTTCATTTTTTCCAATTATATTTATTACTCAATAAGCTTACCTAGATACAGTACAGAGATACTGGAGTCATGAGTATACATCTAATCTAATCACCATTTAGAGCCATCAGTTTTACTCTGCTTCATGGCCATAAACAGCTTCTGTATTCGATCAAAAGGCTCATAAGGGGCTGGGGCTGTGAGAGGCAATGGGTTTGATCCCCAGCACCATATAAAAAATAAATAAATAAAGATATTGTGTCCATCTACAACTAAAAAAAGAAAAGGAAAATATTTCTTTTTTAAAAAAAGGCTTATAAATGTGTTCCTTTAATCACTCAAGTCTTAAGGCAAGAATAAGAAGGAAAACTGGAAATTTTAGAAAAATTCACAGCAGATATGTTGCTATTGATTAGTGAATATCATCTTTGGAGTGCCATAAAGACAGCATCTTTGACAAAGAGAAGATGTAACCTTTACAAAGATACCATTGTCTAGTCTAAGCCATTTCCCGGAATGTGGAAGTACCAAGAAATCACTTCCGGAATTACTAGGAATAATTTCTGAACTTATGGGCAGACAGAGTAACCGATCCATAGTTCAGAACAAAAATCATACGTACCTTAAAGCTCATTCTTCTGTAACCACTTAGACTGATTCTTTCCTTGCTTTCAGACAAAATTTTCTCAGTTAAAATTCTGCTTCTTTGAACACTCTGTGATTAAAAGATAAGTTTTAAATTATCTTGTGAAATACATTTAAATGCCTGTGATCACTGTTACTTCATAGTACAACATTATTTATTATTACCAACATTTTAAAAACTATAAAAGAGGTAGAATTCTAGAAAACACTTTCTAAAGATGCATTAATGTCCAGCTATGGCCTCAATATTTGGCCAAAACCCACAGTTTGGCTTCAGCATTGGACCTTAGCCAAATGGATACAACCGTATTATTTTTGGCATCCTTTATCTTGAGTGATCGAGGATCATATGTTTTCATAGGTTAGCACTGAATTTATTTAGCATATTGACATGAGGATTATGAATAAGACATATTATCTAGATTTATGGTCAATAAATGACTATTCATTTTCAAACACAAGAAAGCATTCTAAACATGAATTAGAATGAAAATTTCCTTCAATGTTTTATACTTTGAATTCTATCCAATGACTAAATTATTATACACACACACACACACACACATACATACATATATACTCATTCTACAATAGTGAGTCAGAGGAACGTCTACAATAATTATGATTATTAAGTGTGCTACTTCTCTTATAATGACTTAAATATACTGAAAAAACTAAAAGGTCTAAATCTGACAGCCTGGTAGATTCATGATTAGGTGGATTCATGTTAAACCATGCTGTTGCTTTACTTGTTTGCTGAAATTCTTAGGTCCCAAAATCTAACATTTCAAATTGAAATAAAATAAAATAATCATAAAACATTTAAAATTAAATATAAGTATCATGTAATTATCACTGACAATGGATAAGGCTATGGGTAACTTAGGGATCAACAGCATTGAATTTTTATTCATCCTTTTATGCTTTTTGTATTGTTTGATTTTGTTTTGGCACCTGGGATTGAACCCAGAGGCTCTTAACCACTGAGCCACATCTCCAGCCCATTTCTTATATTTTATTTAGAAACAGGGACTCACAGCAAACTACATGTTGCTTAGGGCCTCAGTTAGTTTCTGAAGCTGGCTTTGAATTCGCAATCCTTCTGCCTCAACATCCGGAGCCACTGGGATTACAGGTATGTGCCACTGCACCTGACCTTATGTTGTATTTTTAGGAAGTAGCTATAGTACAATTTAAGGTTAAGCGAATTAGTAAACATAACAGAAAGGGACTTGGATGCTTTCATCATGACTCTTCATTGACAAATACATGTTGTCATATGCTTGTGCAAGATATTACAAAATGATGAAATAGCCAGTATTACATATTTAAAATGATACTTTTAATGAAATAAAGACAAAACGCTTAACACCATATTTTATGACATCAAAATAGCAGAACTTATTAACAGTTAATGGTTATTTTAAAAAGAGAATATAGTTCATATGTTGGAACTTTGGAACTTGCTAAAATATTGTCCAAGAGTACAATTGTAGTTTTGTTTGCATGACATGCAATGCAAAAATTTATCATCAGATCAATGCATGCTCATGACCTCTATGTGCAAGCCACCATTCTAGAGGCTGCAGCAATGAAAAACAAAGTGCTGGTTTCATAGAGCTTACACCCTGTATGAAGGACAGACACAATAAACATGTGTAGTTGATCTTTATTATTTGCAGAAATCAACTTCTGTAAACACTTGTGAGTACTGAATTAGTGAGCAATGCTTGTCAGCAAGTGAGTATCTGGTTTTCTTCACTCATCAATACGTTACCTTATTTTATGAGTTTTCTATTTAAATACACCTTGTTTAATATATATTATCTACTCATTACCAATGAACTCATGACCTTTAGCACTAGAACTTATGCCTGATTGAAGCTGATCCAAAATGCTTTTTTTTCTTTTTGAAGCACACTGCAGCCTTCTTTCACTTAGGAACACTTGCCAGCTCAGCTCTTCAGCACCATGTCTGGGGACTGTTTTTAAACACACTTGACACTTCACATATGTGTTGAAACTGAGGACTTGTGTCTTTTTACATTGTATTTGTTCTTTCATTCATCAGATAAATACATGCTGATCATCTCGATGTGCAAGCTGGTATTCTAGAGGCTGGGGGTGCCACAATGAATGAGAGCACAGTTGCTGCTCTCACGAAATTTACATGAAATGTGAAGTACAGGTATGAAGACACGAATTGATGTGAATATACTTTGTATACAACCAGAAATATGAAAAACTGTGCTCTATATGTGTAATAAGAATTGTAATGCATTCCACTGTCATGTATAAATTAAATAAATTATATATATATATATATATATATATATATAAAGATACAAGCCTTTGGTTTTAACAAGTCCATGCAGTGCCAGGAGGGATGAATGAGAAGAATTACAGTGTCTGACTACTTATTACTAGTAACTGATAATGACAAAAATAGAAATAATGATAAAAATAGAATAGTATATTCTATTAATGATAAATGATTTTTAAAAAAGAATTTTATGCCTAATCCAACTGGAATTCAGGAGGCAGAGCAAAAGAAATAATACACATCCACGAGTATAAGTATTCTAAAAATTTATTACCCTTAGATGTTCCCAGAAAGAATTAGTTAAAAATATAATAAGCAAAACAAAAATGACAGAAGAGAGGGAATAATGTAAGGTAAAGGAAATAGTGGTAAGAAAATAAATCAGCAAAGCTTCTAGCTAAATCTGAGTTATTATGATGCAGTAACTAAAAGTTAGAACACTCTTTCAGAAATTGAAATACTTAATGGACTCAGGTGGCAGATCACAGGAAGAAGTAAACATTTTTAAATGTCCTTTAAGGGAGGAAAGATGGATTCTGACTGACTCTTTTTTTTTTTAAGAGAGAGAGAGAGGAGAGAGAGAAGAGAGAGAAGAAAGAGAGAGAAGGGGGAGAGAGAGAGAATTTTTTAATATTTATTTTTCAGTTTTCGGCACACACAACATCTTCATATTTTTTTTTTTATGTGGTGCTGAGGATCGAACTCAGTGAGTGCCCGGTGCATGCCAGGTGAGCACGTTACCGCTTGAGCCACAACCCCAGCCCCTGACTGACTCCTGATGTGCTTAAATATGTGTGAGACTCTTTAAAATAGTAATGAAAAAGTAAAATCAGAATATATTATATCCAGGCCACAGAATTTAAATAAAAGTGGTGGGGAGATACAAAAAAAAGGACAAGTTTAAGAAAAGGAATAAAAGGAAAAAATAAACCAAAAGGCAGAATCAATAACAAACATAACTTTCAAAACAAAAAAATACCAGTAAATTCAAAATATAAATAGGTTAAAATTTGCTTTTTAAAAATTAGAGTACATATGTTTTTATAGCTAAATACAACTTTCTATTCATAAGAACCAAGAGTCTTGGAAGACTGGTCTGGTTTCTTTCTGGTGAACAGAACTCGTGAGTTTGAGCCATCTCCTTGTGCCAGAAATCTTGTTGGATCATTTTTCTCCTGAAAATGGGGAATGAACAACCTCCAGTATTGATTTTCTTTTGGACCACCTTTCCAATGGGCTATGCCATGATCACCAGTTTATACTAAATCATTCTTGCTATAATTTCTACTTTTTTTCCCAGACAATTTTGCCTACTCTCAATGTCCTATATCCACACTTTCCTATAAAATGCATGCCCATACTTTGTAAACAAACATAAGTTTAATAAGCATTGTATTCATCTAACATTCCCTCCTGTATCAGTTCAAGTAAAAGCATGTGTGACCAGTAAAGAATAAAGAAAAAGGAAATAGGCAGGGGGACCCTCCCAACAATGATGCCATTTGGACATCTGAGAAAGGGGATGAGAGAAGGACCACAGAGCAGTTCTGAGAAAGATCTAAGTCTGAGCCAAAGTCGCTCACAAAAGCAATCCCACATCAAGCAAGAATGCATCAGTTCTAGAAAAGACTTTGTGCTCCGTCCTTGGCTAGAAGTAGCTGAGAGTAAGCATGCTCCTCTTAGAGTGAATATCATGGCAGATCTCCAGGACAGCACCTAGAGGCTGGCAGTTAAGCATGCTCCTCTTAACAGATTCTCCAAAAGAGATGTGAGCAGCATATTCCTGATGCCACACCTACTGATGTAAATTTATAGTCATCCATCTTTTGCATCAAAGCAATCTTTTTATATACTCATATTTTTAACCTTACCTTTTTAGCTCATGGCATCTTTATATGTATCTTTTACTTAAGTAAATAAAAACATGAGACTGTGCAGAAAAAAGAAAAGAAAATGCAAATATACACGTTAATCTTCCAAGATTTTAAATATACCATACACTTGGACCAGAAATTCCAAACAAAAACATGTGTGTAATATATATGTTCAAGTATATTTTAAAAGAAAAAAATCAAGATGCAGAAAAATATAAATTGGAATTCTATATGTGTAAAGACATCAATTTGCATAGCATAAATGACAATGAAAACATCAGAATAGATACAATTAAAAAAATGCACTTACCAGTGGTTAACTTCAGGGAAAAGAGAACTAAAAGATGATATTTAAGTTGGGAAATGTTCTATACCATATATATCTTTATTTTTGAATTTCATTCATATGCTACTTGTTAAATTTCTTAAGTATTTAATAGCCCTTGCCATTAAAAATGGCGCAATTATTTTGCTAAAGAAAATAGTGGCATTTTAACAAAAGACAAAATGGAATTTTTTAGACAGAAATCACAAAGTAATTATTTGTAAGGCCAAATTAGCCATATGTTATTTATACAACACGTCAAAAACAAAGAAATGTAACAAAGAAAGGAACAAAATTAAAATATTCCTAGATACAAAAAAATAACATAGGAATTAAAAAATTATAGCAGAATTCAAGTGTTAAATGGGCCAAATTGAGTCACTTAAAATTAATAGGAGACAAAAATCTATAAATTCCTAACTTTAAAATTCATAGTAAAGATAAAATTATTTCTTATCACATTAAGTAAACATATGGAGAAATGGACAAAACACAGCTTCATTCAAAACCCCCAATTAATCAAAGTCTTTAAGATCAAATGGAAGAAATAAACCACTTAAAAATGGACTCATATTATACAACAGTCAAAGCTATTATTAATTCAGCACTTGTATTTATCAGGCAATACCCTATACAGTCTCTCATTAAATTCTCAGGACACCCACTTTACAAATAAAAAACTGAGACTTCAACACACCAACCTCTATGGGGCCCAGGCGCACAGTAGGCCTGGTCCACCCCTTTCCCGGTGGGGCAGACACTCCCCAGAGCCTAGCCTCTGTTGCAGGACTGCCCTTTCTGATCAGTGGACTAGGCGGGAGCCAAGATCCAGCCCAGACCACCCACACCAATCCACATGGGATTCAGGCTCTCAACCACTGTGGGAGGTCAAGCCCAGTGGCTCAGATCCACCCATTCCAACTTAAGCAGGACCCATATCTAAGATGCAGTAGCATTCATTGAGGGACACCAGCAGGGTCTGGAAGCCCAACATCAAGGTGAGGTACAGACAATCTGCACGGGTACTACAAGAATATAGGGAAGAAACTATCTCAGATCCACACTGCAAGAAAGGAAGATGCATAGACAGCATGAAAAAACAAGGGAGGAAAGTGCCCCAAACAAACCATGACACTATAATAACAGAACCCAGGGACAGTGAAGTTGATGAAATGTCAGAGAAGGAGTTCAGAAGGTTCATAATTAAAATGATCTGTGAATTAAAGAATGACCTAAATGAGCAAATACAAGCAAAGGTTGATCACTCCAACTATGAGATGAGACAGCAAATACAGGTAACAAAAGATTACTTCAAGAGAGATACTTCAAATGTATGAATTGCCAAGATCATTGTAATGTCATGTATAGCTAATAAAAAATTTAAAAAATTAAAAAATTGATAAAATGATAGCTTGTTGGAGTGTAAAAGTTTATGCTGGAATTAATAATAAATTTCTGAATAACAAAAAAAGAGAGAGAGAGACTCAGGAAAAAAAAACAGTCACAAATCCTTGAAATGAAGGATGCAATAAATCAAATAAAAACTCAATAGAAAGCATAACCAACAGACTAGATCACTTGGAAGAAAGAATGTCAAATAATGAAGACAAAGTATACAATCTGGAAAATAAAGTTGTTCACACAGTGAAGGTAATTAGAAATCATGAAGAGAACATCCAAGAATTATGGGTCAAAAGACCAAATCTAAGAGTTATTGGGATAGAGGAAGGCACAGAGTTTCAAACCAAAGGAATGCACAATCTCTTCAATGAGATAATATCAGAAAATTTCCCAAGCATGAAGAACAAATTGGAAAACCAAATACAAGAGGCTTACAGGACACCAAATGTACAAAATTACAACAGATCTACACCAAGCAAATATACATTATAATGAAAATGCCTAGCATACAGAATAAGGATAGACTCTTAAAAGCGGCAAGAGAGAGGAATCAGATCACATATAGGGGGAGACCAATTCGTATCTCAGCAGATTTTTTAACCCAGACCTTCAAAGCCAGGAGATCATGGAAAGATCAAGCTCTGAAAGAAAATGGATACCAACCAAGAATCTTATATCCAGCAAAACTAAGCTTTAGATTTGAAAAACCTTCCATGATAAACAAAAGTTAAAAGAATTTACAACTAGAAAGCCTGCACTATAGAACATCCTCAGCAAAATATTCCAAGAAGAGGAAATGAAAAAAAATGATGAAAATCATCAGAGGGAGGGATTACACTAAAGGAAAATCTAATCAGAGGAGAAACCAAGTCACATTAAATACCAAAAATAAACAAAAATGCCTGGGAATACAAATCATGTCTCAATAATAACCCTGAATGTTAATGGCCTAAACTCATCAATCAAAAGACATAGACTAGCAGATTGGATCAAAAAAAGACCCAACAATTTGCTGCCTTCAAGAGACTCATCTCATAGAAAAAGACATTCACAGATTGAAGGTGAAGGATTGGGAAAAATCATACCACTCACATGGACTGCAGAAGCAAGCAGAGGTTTCCATCCTCATATCAAATAAAGTAGACTTCAAACTAAAGTCAATCAAAAAGGATAAAGAAGGACACTACATACTGCTCAAGGGAACCATATGCCAACAAGACTTAATAATTATAAATATATATCCCCCAAACAGTGAAGCAGCTATGTTCATCAAACAAACTCTTCTCAAGTTCAAGTGTTAAATAGACCACAACACAATAAATTTGGGTGACTTTAACATACCTCTTTGATCATTAGATAGATCTTCCAAACAAAAGCTGAACAAAGAAATTATTATCCAAAGGACAGGTTTGAAGACATGAATTGGTATAAAAATACTGTGTATATAACCAGAGATATGAAAAATTGTGCTCTATATGTGTAATAAGAATTGTAATGCATTTTGCTGTCATATATAAATTTAAAAAAAAAAAACTGAGACTTCAAGAGACTAACAGTACAAATTTACCTAGGAAGTAAGAGGAATTCAAATCTAATGTTATCTGATTCCAAACCCTGTGCTCTGCTTAGTCCTGAACAATGTAAAAATGGTAACTATATATAATACCACTTAACTGGTAGATATTGGAATGTTTAGTAAATCACAAAGCAAATATCAATAAATTCCAAGAAACAGGTATTCTAAAGAATAGATTTTCTTATGTTAGTAAAAATTAAAAATAAAATTTAAACAAAATAAATCCAACAAGTTTAAAAACTTTTTAAAACACTTTCCCACATAAGTGGTATATCCAGAAAAAAAAAATGAGTCCTTCCAAGTTTTCAATAAGATTATTCCTATGCTATGTCAATTTAAGAATGTTTTAAAAGATGAAAGCAAGAATAATTCTGGTGGCAAAAGTCAACAAAGGAAAAAAAAATGCATGTAAGGGTCCAGATTGGTATGACTACAGCCATCTTCATCTTAACTACCACTTTGCCCACCAGGGGACCCTGGCCCACATCTCAAGCCTTCAGGACAAAGTTGGTAAAAGAGTCAGTTGAGCATGCTATGCTGGCCACTGATGCCTAGACTGTTTTGCAACTGTCCTTTAAACATTTTAATAGTGTTTGAGAAAAATCAGGTATATTGGGGTTGGCCACAGCCCACTGTTATCTAGCTTATCATATAAACCCCTTTTCCCTGCTTTGAGGTACAGTGACTTCCTTGACTTGATGCTACCTAAGACAGGCTTCTGTCAATAATTACACTTTGTACAGTCCTGGATCTGTCTGCCTTTTTAAAATTTTTGGTCTTGTGACACCTTCTACCTTTGGCAGTTTGTTATCATGCACATAATTCACCTGTGCATAAATATTAAAAATAAAAAAATACATGGCCTAGTAGAACTCAACATAATATGCAATAACAATATACCAGGACCAAGTAATTGTAAAATAAAGATATTTCAATACTAATATTCTAAACATGTAGAATCAATAGGTCAAATATGAACATGATTCTGTGCCTGCCTTGTCTGCAGCAAAACTAAGAGGTAAATTCATGACCCCATTTCAAGAAATAGCACATGTGGATTGAATTTCTTTTGTATTGATTTTATCTCTGGCTTTGTTACGCTGTTGTCCTTGTTATGTTTTCTTTCTTCATGACTTCTTTAATTTTTTTGCTTTGTCTGTTTTGGATATGTGTATTTTAGTAAGCTGACTAAAATATTGTGCAAATAAAATAATTCTAAATACCATTAATAACTGATGTACAGCCTAAAACAATAGCACACACCTGTAATTCCAGCAACTTGGGAGGCTGAGGCAGGAGTATCACAAGGTTGAGGCTAGCCTCAGCAATTTAGGGAGACCTGCCTCAAAATTAAAAATAAAATCTAGAGGTGTAACTCAGTGGTAGAGCATCCCTGGGTTCAATTACCAGCACCAAAATGCTAGATGCCAGCCTAACCCATACTTCAAAAGCAATGGAATAATCTTCCAGTTCACTACTGTAAGGCGTAACTGAATATGATATACTGCCTATGAAATGGAGATAGAATCTTTACCTACTCAGCTGCTCAAAACATAAATGAAATCCCATGGCTCTTTTAAAATTGTGAAAATTTAAGGAGGCTACTAAACTGTATTTTCAATTCAGTGAATTCCTCAATAAATTGACCCCAGCATCTTTAAGACTACTTTTTAGTTTTGATCTGAGAAAACTGAATAGGTGTACCCATTGAGACCTTGCTAAGCAAACATGCATTTGTATGTTCCTTCCCACCACTTTGTAAATGTGGTCCCCTGATAGCTCTTCTAGGTTGGTTTGAAATGAAGCTTGCTTTTCCATGAAAGACTAATATGGAAACATGGAAGTTTTATGTAATTAGTTTTTCATTTGGTTTTCCAGCAACATCATAAGGACTTAACTGTAATCTATATAAACAATACTATTATTGCCAACAAGATTAATAATGATTCTTAATCACTATCTAATATCAGATAATAAATGCTATTCAATATTCATCAATTATCAAAATAAAAGTAAATGAAAATATCATGAAAATCCTTTAAACAACCCATATTACATCATATCTTGATTCTCAGTCAAATACAATATTCTTTCAAAAAGAAAACAGAATCTTCGTCTTGACTGGCTAAAGTAATATGGATAAGTATAACACTTTAAATAAATATATACATTAATTTTATCTTATAGAAATATATATAATTTTAATTTTATAATAATTTTATCTTATAGAAATATACATAATTTTAATTTTATAAGTATGCAGATTTATCTTTATACATATATATAATACATACACATAAAAATTATTTACATATGTATAGTTTCTATAGTGACATCCAATCAATTCTGACTGTGGCAATAGTTTTCTGACAAGTTACATAACAACTATCCAGTAAACTTTAATGCCATAAGAAATTATACGACCTAAATATTAATAATAACAGTAATAATAGAGAAAAGTCATTCAGTACATTACCTCATATTTTGGATATACAATGTCCCTCATGACACATTCTGGAACAGAGAATTTGGGTGCAGAAGGATTCCAAAACATCTTTGTAATTTCTGGATAAGCAGATGTCTTAGAAAATAAAATAGAAAAACCATTAGACAAATGTTCCCTAAGATAAAAAAAAAAAAAAACTCAAACTCCTGTCAAAATTGCTTCCAGTTGCTGAGAAAATGACCTGATTGGTTTCAAAGCCTCTGAAAGTGAGGGGAAAATAACTTTTCATAACCACCAGATTAGCAAAAAAATATAAAGGCAGAAATACCAAGTGATGCTAAGCGGGTGGGGAAGTTAGCAGAACCACACTGGCAAATTGGCCATTTGAAAGTAGAAAAAGTACATGCCATGACATAGTGAATCCCACTGTTATGGTATGGATATGAACTGTCCCCCAAAAGCTCACAGTGATACAATGAATGCAAGATAGGAGGAGAAATGATTGAATCATAGCCTCCACCCAATCAGTGACCTAATCTCTGATGGGATTAACAGGGTGGTGGCTGGAGGCAGGTGGGGTATGGCTGGAGGAAGTGGCTCATTGTGGGCGTGGCTATGAGGTATATATTTTGTATCTGGAGAATGGAGACTCTTTCCTCCTGCTTTCAGATCATCATGTGAGCTGCTTCCCCCTGCAACACACTCCACCATGATGTTCAGCCTCACCTCCAGCCGCAAGTAATGGAGCCTGCTGTCTAGGAATGGACCTCTGAAACCATGAGCCCCTGAAAAAACCTTTTCTCTTCTACAATTGTGGTCAGATCCTTTAGTCACAGCAACAAAAAAAAAGCTGATTAAAACACCCACCATCATGTACATCCATAAGAATGCGGTTCTAGGGGCTGGGGTTATGGCTCAGCGGTACAGCGCTCGCCCAGCACAGGCGAGGCCCTGGGTTTGATCCTTAGCACCACATAAAAACAAATAAATAAAATAAAGGTATTGTGTCCAACTACACCTAAAAATAAATATTAAAAAAAGAATGGTTCTAATTAGGATAAGAGATATTCCATTCTTTCATAATTATATCAAAATTATATCAAAATGAATTCTAATGTCACATATAACTAAAAAGAACCAATAAAATAAAAGAAAAGAAAAAGTACATGTCACAAGTTATAGCAATTCCACTTACAGCTTATATTCTAGGCAAATCCTTACACACATGCTTGGAGAGATATGTGCAGAATATTCACAGAGCATATGAAATAGCAAAAATAAAATCCAATGTAAATGTCTATTCTAGAGAGATGAATAAAACTTGGCATATTCATATAAACACTATAAAGTCATTAAAATTATGATCCATAGATGGATCTTAGAAGCATAACATTGAGAATAACATAAGTTTCATAAAGATGCATACACATTTATAATTTATATAAAATACAACTAGAACACATAAAACCATGTTATTTATAGTTTAGGATCACAACTACAACTAGTAAAACATGAACTCATGGACAGGAAAGACCACCATTATAACAATAATTTTTTTTCTTTTTTCTTTTTTTTTTTTAAAGAGAGAGAGAGAGAGAGAGAATTTTTTTTTAATATTTATTTTTTAGTTCTGGGCGGACACAACATCTTTGTTTGTATGTGGTGCTGAGGATCGAACCTGGGCCGCACGCATGCCAGGCGAGCACGCTACCGCTTGAGCCACATCCCCAGCCCTATAACAATAATTTACCTTGGTTATAGAGGTAGAGAAATAAAGACTTAATTGAGAGAACTTAATAATCTTTTATTTTAAAAAATATAAAGTAAGTATGACAAAATGTAAATATTTATGAATTCTTGATAACGTGTTCCCCAGATTCCTAATATTTTGGTTTCTATATTTCTCTGTATCTTCCAATGACATGATTCTATATTTAAAAGATTCCAAAAAAAAAAAAACTCCATCAGAAAACTTCTAGAACTAATAAATGAATTCAGCAAAGTGGCAGGATATAAAATCAACACCCACAAATCAAATGTGTCCTATACATCAGTGATGAATCCACTGAAAGAGAAATTAGGAAAACTACTCCATTCACAATAGACTCAAAAAATATATAATAATTGGAGGCTGGAGTTATGGCTCAGTGGTAGACTACTTGCCTAGCATGTGTGAGGCACTGGGTTCAATTCTCAGCACCACATATAAATAAATAAAGGTCCATCAACAACAACAAAAAAAAAAATTCTTAAAAGAAATGTAATACTTGGGAATCAATCTTTCAAAAGAAGTGAAAGACCTCTACAATGAAAATTACAGAACATTAAAGAAATAAATTGAAAAAGACCTTAGAAAATGGAAAGATCTCCCATGCTCTTGGATAGGCAGAATTAATATTGTCAAAATGACCTTACTCAACACCAAATAAACAAATAACCCTATCAATAAATGGGCTAAGGAAGTGAACAGACACTTCACAGAAGAAGAAACACAATCGATCAACACCAAATATGCAAAAATGTTCCATATCTCTAGCAATTACAGAAATGCAAATCAAAACTAATCTAAGATTTAATCTCACTCCAGTCAGAATGGCAATTGTCAAGAATATAAGCAACAATAAATGTTGGCAAGGATGTGTAGAAATGGGTACACTCATATACTGATGTGGGACTGCAAATTAGTGCAACCATTATGGAAAACAAAATGGAGATTTCTCAGAAAACTTGGAATGTAACCACCATTTGACCCAGCTATGCCACTCCTCAGTTTATACCCAAAGGACTTAAAATCAGCATACTACAGTGATACAGCCACACAATACTTATAGCAGCTCAGTTCACAAGAGCCAAACTGAGGAACCAACCTAGGTGCCCTTCAATAGATGAATGGAGAAAGAATATATGGTATATATGCACAATGGAATATTACTCAGCCTTAAAGAAGAATGTAATTATGGCATTTGCAGGTAAACAAAGATGAAGAATATCAAGCTAAGTGAAATAAACCAGTCCCAAAGAACCAAAGTCTGAATGTTTTTTCTGATATGTGGATGCTAAATCACAACAAAGGTAGGGGGAGCCTTAGGAAAAAATAGAGGTACTTTGGATTAGGCAGAGGGAAGTGAAAGGAGGAAAGTGGGTATGGGAGGACAGTAGAATGAATTAGACATTATTACCCTACTTACATATATGATTACATGTGTGATTTTACATCATGTACAACCAGAGGAATGAGAAGTTATACTCCATTTATGTTTGATGTGTCAAAATGCATTCTGTCATGTATAACTAATTAGAACCAATTCTTAAAAATGCAAAAAAAGTATCAATACTGGTTTATCAATTTTAATTATTTAAATTTTAATTTAATTATTTTAATTATTCAATTATTTAATACTGATTTATTAATCTTAATAGTGTATCAATATTGGTTTATTAATTTTAACAAAATACCTTACTTCTGTAGATATTATAAGTTTCCCAATGATGACAGATTCTCTCACAGTTCTCCAATCAAGGCCTGGGGAAGGCTGTGTTCCCTTCAAAGAGTTCTTTCTCACCTCTCTCCTAGCTTTTAGAGGTTACAGCCATCCTGACCTTCCTTGTCTTACAGATGCATAATTCCCATCTCTGTCTCCCTTGTCACCTGGCTTTCCACCCTGGTCTCTCCGTGTGCTCACATGCTAATTCTCCTTTCATAAGCACACTGGTCCTATTAGGTTTAAGGACCACAGTATATCCAGCATGATCTTAGCACAGGCTTATTAAACACATCTGCATTGTCCCTATTTTCGGGGACCACTATTCAACCCATTATTATTATGTTAATAATAGAGGAAACAGGGCATACTGTCTTTGCAAGTTTTAAATCCAAAACTATTTTTTAAATTAAAATTTTTCATCTGTAAATTAGTGAACAATAAAAAGAAAAATAATTTGATAAAATAGTTGCAAGCAAAATAAATTGACAGGCATTCATGAAAAGAGCTTGAAGAAAATGTAATATTTTAAAATAATAGTTCCTTAAGAGCAGGGGATTATTAATAATTATATTTTTAGTGTTTCTATGGACTTTTAATACTATTTAATTGAATGATGCATTTTCCCAAAAATGATTTCTTTTGCCGAGAGAGAGAGAAAGAGAGAGAGCCAGCGAGCGAGAGCGCTCAAATCATTGTAAAGCATCAATTTTCAGGCACTGCTCTATGAACCCTTAATAGTAACATCTCGTGGAATGTGGCTGTTACACAGAATTTCTGGAGTAAAATATGAAGACCCAAACCCAGCAAAAAAAAAAAAAATTCACAATTAGAATGTGACAATGGATTTTGGGCACTTATATTTGTAATTAGAGATACACGGCAACCATCCCATACACTTGGTCATATTATCCTCTCTACCAACAGAATATTTAGAGAAATGCAGATTTTGCAGTTGCCAGGTAATTTTGTCCAACAAATTAATTCAAAATTAAGCATCTTTTCTAATTTGTCCTCTGTTCTGCTAGGCACAGAGCATCACCCAATGGTGGGCAGACCCACAGCCCAGAAGTCCTTGCTTTAGGATGAGTAAATGCCTCCAAAAGCAGCTGACCACACGTCTTCCAGGGATCACATAGAAATTTGAAGGATTTCAAGTATTCAACTATGTCACATACAATATGATAATTCCTCCTCCTGTGCAGCATTTTAGACTTCCAGCAGCTTTAGCATCTAGAGTAAAGTCAATTCCCAAAGTGTGAGATACAGGCTTTCAGGGGCAAGTTGGGTAGGGAGAGGTCATCACTGAACAAGAGGTCATCAGTGAACAACAGCACTTTGTTTTTAAGGCAATGTACTAATGCTTTTACAGGAGAGACTTGATCAAATTAAATTGGTAAAGAAACACTAATCATGGTAAATTAGTTTACCCTGCAATACTTAAAGCATTCTGAATTGTAGAAAAATGATTAGAAACAATGGGATTGGCAGCTGCTAGAACTTGGAAGGAAGGTATAGAATGCATAGTGAACTGAACTGCTAAAGCATCCTAGTTTAATTTAGTGTTTAACAGCACCTGTACTGCCCTAAGGTTATGTTACATATATTACAACCCAGTACAATAACTCATGTTCATATTGATGACTTAAGGCC